GTGTGTGTGTGTGTGTGTTTGTGTGTGTCTCGTTTGTGTAACTTTCTTGAATAAAAACGGGCGGATTGCCCAGCCGAGCCCGGCGCTTCCTCCTTTCCTTTCCTTCCCTTCCCCGGGGTCTTGGGGGGGAGGGAGGGGCGCCCCAGAGGTACCGGGGGGGGAGGGAGGGGGGGCGATGGCAGGAAACCCGGAAGCGGCGAAGCGCCGGACTCTCTCGGCTCCCACGGCCAGGCGGGAGAGGAGGCGCATGCGCAGTGGTCGCCTGCGGTGGACGGGCGGGAGCGGCGCTGTTGTTCCCCCCCACGGCGTACTCGAAGAGCACGGAGAGCGCAGCCGCAACAGAAAAAAGACTCAGCCCTTCTAGGGGGCGTGGCTTCGGAGCTTCAGCAGGCGACATCCGGTCACGTGCCGGGGGACGCCGGGCAGCGCTTCCCCCCCTCCCTCTGTAAGGGAAGATGTCGACGCCCAATCGCGGCGGGAACCGAGGAGGACTAAGGAGCCGACGGCCTCCCGGCGGGGAGACGCCGGCGCTGCCGCCTGAGGAGACGCGCGGCGCGGGAGGAGGCCGCCGGCGCCGCTCCCCCAATCCGTACAAGAAGATGGCGGCGCGGGGCCTCCGCTTCCGGTCCTGCGCAGTGGGCGCGGAGGCAAGAGGCGAGTCCTGGGCGAGGCGAGCGGAATCGAAACTCGAGGCGCGGGAGGAGCGGCCGCCGCGCTCGCCCCCCCCAGGAGGAGACCCGACGGGGCGCCCCTCCAGGCCGCTGCCGGTTCCCGCGCGGGGCGCCGCCGCCGTCGCCGCCCCTTCCCCGCCGCCCTCCCGCCCCGCCGGCCATGAGCTCCCCGCCGCCCGCCTGCATCATCGTCCTGGACGAGGACAGCGACCCGTCCCCGCCGCCGCCCCCGACGCCCGACGCCGTTGCTTCCCCCGACGCCGCCGCCATCCCCGCAGGCGAGCCCTCCCCGGAGCCCCTGAACGGCAGCGCCGGGGAAAAGGGGCTCCGCGCCGAGAACCAGCGGCTCTTCCGGGAGGTGAGACGGGGAGGGGAAGCGGCGCGGTCCTCCCTCCTCCTCCTCGGGCGGGCGGGGGTTGGGAGGCCCCGTCCGGGGAAGTCCGGGCTCTCCGCCTCCCCGACCCGGGGGGGTCCCAGCCGGCCTCTCGGGAGGGAAAGCTCCCCGTGGCTTCCTCCCGCTCCCGTGGCTGCTCCTGTGGGACCCTCAAAGATCATCCAGTCCAACGCAGACCCCCACCGTCGGGCCCTGGAGGGTCGCTCAGGGATTTTTCCCCTCCTTTTGGGGGGAGGGAGGCAGAGCAGCCCCCCCCAGGCCAGCCGATGGGTGGAGGGGTTGGGGGCTTCCCTGGGAGGTGACATCCCCCCCCAACACTCCCTCCTGTCTTCTCCCCCAATTTCCCAGAATCCCCCCCCTCCCTCTGCCTGTTCTTGTCAGGGAATTGCAGGGCAGCCCTCTGGGTGAAAGTCAGAGACACCAACTTTGGTCGTTTTATATATTTGTACATTTAACGTTTACGTTCCCAGCAGACAAGATAGGAACCACAGGAGTAGAATAGACTAGAGCTGGAAGGGACCTTGGAGGTCTTCTAGTCCAGCCCCCTGCTCACGCCGCAGACGCGCCTAGACCATCTCCGACAGGTGACTGTCCAGTCTGTTCTCAAAAACCTCCAGCGATGGAGCGCCCACAATTTCTGGAAGCAACTTCTGTTCCACTGGTTGATTGTCCTTATTGTCAGGAAGTTTCTCCATAATTCCAGATTGCTTCTCTCTTTGGTCAGTTTCCAGCCATTGTTTCTCGTCCTGCCCTCTGGTGCTTTGGAGAATAACGTGACCCCCCCTCCTCTTCTTTGTGGCAGCCCCTCAAATACTGGAATACTGCTATCAGGTCTCCCCTATTTCTTGTTTTCTTCAGACTAGCCTAATCCAAGTCCTGGAGCCGTTCTTCGTATGTTTTGGTCTCCAGGCCTTGGATCATCTTAGGTGCTCTTTTCTGAATTTTTTCCAAACTCTCGACCTCTTTTTTGTGATATGGTGACCAAAATTGGCTGCAGTATTCCTGTTGTGGTCTTACTAGGATTTTATAAAAGCGATACTAATACTTCACGTGATCTTGATTCTATGCCTCTGTTTATACAACCCAGGATTGTGTTAGCATTTTTGGCTGCTGCTGCTGCTGCACACGGCTGGCTCACGGTCAAGCGATCGTCCACTAGGACTCCAAGGTCCCTCTCACGGTTGCTGTTTTTAAGCCAGGTCTCGCCCAGTCTATACTTGTACCTTTGATTTTTCTTGCCTAAATTTAAAACTTTGCTTTTCTCCACATTAAAATACATTTTGTTGGATAGGGCCCATTGTTCAGGTTTCTCAAGATCTTTTTGGATCCTGAGTTTGTCTTCTGGGGTGTTGGCTACTCCTGCCAGTTTAGTGTCCTCTGCAAATTTGATGAGTTCCCCTTCGATTCCCTCCTCTGAGTCATTTATGAAGATGTTGGAAGAGTTTACTGGGCCTCAGACGGAGCCTTGTGGTACTCCACTGCTTAGTTCTCTCCATGTGGATGTGGTGACATTGAGGGCTACTCTCTGAGTAAGGCTTGACAGCCAGCTACAGATCCATCTGGTGGTGATGTTGTCTGTCCCACCTTTTTCTAGCTTACTAAGCAGCAGGTTGTGGTCTACTTTGTCAAATACCTTACTGAAGTCTAAGTCTACTACGTCCACATCATTTCACTGGTCTACTAGTTTAGTCACTTTATTGAAGAATGAAGTAAGATTGGTTTGGCATGATCTGTTTTCAACAAACCCATGCTGGCTACTGGTTATGACTTTGTTTGCTTCTAGTTGTTCACAGTTCTGTTTTTTTGATTATCTTTTCCAAGATCTTCTGAGGTATTGATGTTAGGCTGATTGGTCTGTAGTTTCCTGGGTCTGTTTTTTCTCCTTTTTCTTGAATAACAGCATGAGGGAAATGTCAGATGGCACACATAACACACAGCAGAGGGAAAAGGGGGGCGGGAAAGGGGGGACTGCCCCCTTTACACCCGCATGAACCAATCATAGTGCAGATCAGGGGTCCCTGACCACCACCACCCCGGTCCGTGGACTGCCACGGTCCGCAGCATGGCCAGAAATCGGTCCGCACAAACAAGCAAATCATCGCACCTGCAGAATGCAGGCAGTGCATGAAACCCCCCCCCCGACACACACACCCCTCTGATCCATGGCAAAATCTCTCTCCATGAAACCAGGTCCCCAGTGCCCCAAAGGTTGGGGGGCCACTGGTGCAGATCGCTTCACGCGAGAGCCAGCCACCCTCCAACCCATCAACTGCCACAGCGTGCGGTTCTGGCCCGTGGCACACTTTGCTCTTCCGGCGACTAAATGGCGCCTCTGATGGGGTCTCCTCCGTCACCAGCACTCCACCACCTCCGGAGGCGCAGCCCCACTTTAGAGCCTCCTTTCTCTGTTGGCGCCTCTTCCAAATTTCTCCCTGTGGGATTTTGACCTTCTTCCCCCTGCCCCTCCGATGGCCGCTGTCCTTCCCTAGCGGGGTCCAGGGGCTTCTGTGCCCTTTCACTCTGTCAGGGCGTTGGGCAGAGGCTGTCCGAATGAAGCCGGAGACGCCGACACGAACTCGTATTCTATGGGTAGATGTATGTAACATTTACAGCAGACGAAAGATATTCAGGAACACAGAAACTGCGTGAGGTAAATCTCAAGCAGCGTATAGAGCACGCCCCCCAAAAAAGGCGGGAAAAAAGGGAACCTCCCCCTACACCCGCAGCAACCAATCACGGTGCAGATTGCCTCATGCAAGAGCCAGCGCTCTCCGACCAATCGATTGCAACTAAATTTAGTATCCTGACAGACAAATTTCTCCTCACGGGGGTGGGGGTGTTCTGCGGGGACCTCGCCTTCCAGCCCAGCTCCCGTTTTCTTCCTGACGGGAAGCTGTGAAGCCGTTGAGGCCGGCCTGGCTCTTCCTTGAGCGATGCCTCTCCTGCCCCTTTTCCCCTGCAGTTCGTGGCCTTCTGCTCCAAGCACACTGAGGACCACCCTGAGGTCATCGCCTACCTGTCTGGCCGGCACCAGAAGACCAGCCCGGAGTACCTGGCCTCCGTGGAATTCCGCAACGTCCTAAGCCGCTGCCTGACGCGGGTGCAAGCCAGGAGAAACAAAATCTACGTCTACATTAATGAACTCTGCACCGTCTTCCGGGCCCATTCGCAAAGGAGAAGGGCTGCGGCCACTGTCCCCGCCGACACCCAGGATGCCCCGGCCGCCGCCCCCGCCTCCCAGACGCCCTCTGAACCCGCCAAGCCCTGCATGGGCTCCAAGCGGCAGATCCGCTACCTGGAGAAGCTGCTGCGGGTTTACGCCAATGAGATCCAGCGGCTGCAGGAACAGGAGCTGGACTTGACGGAGCTGGACAGCCAGGATTCGGCCTACTTGCAGGAGAGCCGCCTCAAGCGTCGGCTGATGCACGTCTTCAAGCGCCTCTGCCAGCTGAAGGACTGCAGCAGCCTGACAGGCCGCGTCATCGAGCAGCGCATCCCCTTCCGCGGCACGCGCTACCCGGAGGTCAACCGGCGCATCGAGCGGCTGATCAACCAGCCGGAGGCCTTCCCGGACTTTGCCGACATCCTCAAGGTGGTGCAGAAGGCCAGCGCCCGTCACAGCCTGGGGCTGCCCAAGCGCCAGATGGAGTTCATGGCCGCCGACGCCTTCCGCGACGTGGGCGCCCGCCTGCAAGAGCGGCGTCGCCTCGACCTGGTCTACAACTTCGGCAGCCACCTGACCGATCAGTACCGGCCTAGTGAGTGCTGGGGAGGGAAGAGGGCCCGGGGCCCAAGGGGACTCTAGGTGGCCCACGGTTCCACCCAGGGGAAGTGCTGGCTTGGGATGACCCCATTGCCGCCCCCAAATTCAACCCCAGGAGGCCTATTGTGGTGCCTGACGATGCCAATTCCAGTCTTGTTTAGGGTGGTCCTGGGGGGCCCCAGTTGGGCACACAAAGGAGGCACCCGACGGTTCTTATTTCTTGGCTGTCGGGAAGGAAAAAAGGCTAGACTCCTGCCTGGGGCTGCTGTGGGTCCTGCCTAAACCTGTTTTCCAGGCTCACCTGCTCTGCCAAAACACGCCCGGATGAAACGGGGGCTGCACAAACACCTGAGATTCGTTCAGGTTAAGGCTGGCCAGGCTGGGCCTTTGCACGTAGGGCAGCCTGCCCTTGGCCGCTATTCCCTGCCCACAATCCCTGCCCCACAAGAGCTTGGGCCCACACACCCACCTCTCCCTCCTAGACCCCCCCCCCTTGCCCATCTCGGTACAATGGTGCTGTGCTTCGTCTGGGGGCTTCTGGCGAGAATCCTGGGTGGGGCCTTTGAGCGGAGGAGGCACCCAGCTGTGCCCCACCAAAGCACCTTGGCCGTGGGTGGGGTGGGGTAGGTGGGTGGGCTGAGGCTGGGATAGACCCCAGCGGGTGAGGTTCGGGCAGAGAGCGGGCAGGAGCCCGTCAGGTGTGGGAAGGGCTGGCTTTCCGGCTTGGCTTTGCTGGCCCCGGGCCCTTAGATTGGGGCTCCTTAGCCACAGCCCCCCCACCCCCAGGGGGGCCGGAGGAGGCTCTCCGGGACCAGACCAGCTTTCCAGGGGCTTGGAGAGAATCCAGCCTTTCGGGGGGGGGCTTTGACCCTCCCCCCCGTTTTCCAAGGGCATCGCCGCGATCCTCCACGGAGGGGAGCACCTTGTCCCGGGGCGGGTGGGGGGCAGGCGGGCTCCCCCTCACCCCCCCTGTCCTCCTCCCGCCCGGCAGACACTGACCCAGCGCTGGGGGACCTGGAGTTGGCCCGGAGCCTGCAGCGCAACCAGGCGCTGGGCGTGCAGCGCCTGGAGGAGGTGATCACCCAGTTCGCTCAGCTGCAGGACAGGAACGAGGAGGAGCAGCTGGGGGGGAGGGCCCCCCGGCAGGACGGCGGAGGGGCCCAGCAGCCCAGCAGTGCCGCGGAGGGGGAGCCAGCCTCCCCGAAGGAGTCCGTCTCGGGGGCAGCCGCCAAAGAGGTAAGGGGGGGGCAGGAGGCAGCCCCTGTGGGGACCTGGAGCTGGGGGCATCCAGAGGGCCGGGCAGCTCGGTGCTGGGTGGGGGACTTGGCCCCCTCTCCCTTTGAGGGGCCGGAAGAGCCCACCAGAGGGGTCACATCAATGGGGGGGCCCTTGGGCTGAGGGAGGGCCCTTGGGTCCGGCCCAGTATCCCAGCCCCCTGGGGCACACTCACAAAATGGCTGCAAAGGCCAGCCCCCCCCTCACCCCAAAGAGGGTAGAGATGGTGTGAAGAAGGGGATGAGTGTGGCTCTTCCCAGACCCAGTGGCCTCCCGATTCGGCCCGCCTCGCAGGGCTGACGGATCCAATTCCCTTGTTCTGTGTGTGTGTGTCAGGGGGGGAGGTCCTCTGGTCGCCGTGGGGCACCCGGGGTCAGTGGAAACCCACCCACCCACCCACCCCACCTCTGCACTAGGACAGCGCAGGCCCCAAGGAGGCCAGTAAAGGAAAGGGGTCATGGGAAGAGGAGGAGGAAGAGGAGGAGGAGGAGGAGGAGGAGGAAGAGGAAGACTCCTCGGAGTCAGACCTGGACGCAGAGCTGGCCCACTGCCTGGTTGGCGGAGAGGAAGAGGAGGAGGAGGAGGAGGAGGAGGAGGAGGAAGCAGCGGCAGCGGCAGGTATCCTTGGTGGGCGGACGGGGGGGGCTAACGTGGCACCTGGGGGGGCTGCCTTCTCTCGCAGACTCCTGCTTCGTTCTTGTGGCAATGAGTTCTGCAGGTTCAATCCGCATTGATACTCTGGAGTTGCCTTCTGCCAGCCCCCCAGTTCTGGGGGAAGGGGGGGAGACTCCTGCCGGCCCTCCTCTTCCCACACTTCCTTCCTGCCCTCCCTCCCCCCTGCAGGTGAGGACCCCCCTGCAGGTGAGGACCCCCCAGCTGTGGACCTGGAGGAAGAGGAAGAGGAAGAGGAGGAAGAGGAGGACTGCCCTCCCCAGCATTTGCTTTTGCAGATCAAGGAGGCCGGGCTGCTGGAGGGGGAGGACAGCCCAGCCCCGTCCCCCTGCCCACTTCCGGAGGAGGAGTGGGAGCCCGCCCACCCAGACCCCGGGGCCCCCCCGCCCCCCAAGCGCGGCCACTCGCTGGAGAACGGGGAGCTCAACGGGCAGCCGCCCACCAAGAGGAGCCGCGGTTGGGGGCAGACCCCAGTTTCCAGCAGGTACGGGGTTGGGGGGGGAGAGAAGGGCGGGGGGGTGCCGTGGGGCCCCCCACATCTCTCACGCTGGCCTCTCTCTCTCTCCCTGCCAGCACCAGCACCGGGGAGGGCTGCATCCAGGTGCCCAGCTCCGACTCGGAGGCGGAGGAGGAGGCCTGGCCGCCCCCCCAGAGCCCGACCCCCCTGGCCGACTCCACCCGCCCGGATTCCCCCAGCCTGGGCCTGGTCTCCAGCAGCCAGGGCAGCCCCCGCCCGGCCCCCCCACAGCAGCACCGGCCGTTGCCGGAGAAGGAGAAGGAGCAGCTACTTGCCAGGGTGGGTGCTGGGAGGGAGGGGAGGGGAGGGGCTGCAGGTGGGGTGC